AGGGTCAGAAACACATTTAATTAATGTTATCACGTGATACTGGGAACAGGAGGGGGGGATAAATCCTGATGCTATATATTAACATCCATGGTGACTTCTCTTTTATGTTTAATGTGCTGCTTGGGTGAAAGTCCAGCCTGGCTCCTGTGATCACAGTGCCTGAGCAGCTCCCACACTGAGTGCGTCTCCCCATCCTCCCAAGGCCTGTGGGGGCCTGGCAGTGCCATTATCCCATTTAGAGGGGAAGGCTCAAGACAAGAGGAGAGTTCTCCATAACAGGATCCATGGTAGATAATTTCCCTGTGGACCTTCTCCTCGGTAGGCCAGGCCTACTGTGATTGTCACAGTAAACTAGTGATAGCCCAAGCTTATCAGCTTCTTGTTTGTCCATCTGGATGCTGCAGTGGGAGCAAAACTGGAAGTGCACACAAATGACAGGGAACAGAGAGGGTCAAATCCTCTCTCAAACCCTTTGAATTTTGGTGCATTTTGTAGAGATATGTATTAGTCCCAGCAGTTAGAACATGTCTTCTCATCCCATTCTCCCCCATCTCTAAGAGAATTTGGATCTGGGATTTCTTGCACAAACCATCTGCCTGTTTATTAATCTGTATTGTGGGGGTGGGCTCACTACAAGCTCATTTTGGTATGGGGGAGGATGTCTCATTTGTGGTTCTTCCATTAGGTCTGCGGTGAGGCAGCCGGGGCAAACTGCATATTGCTTTTCTGATTGTCCTGGTACACTCTGCTTCTTCGGGGAAAATTGAATTGGGATAGATACCTGGGTTGCACCTGAAGGTCTGAGTTTCTCACTGGCACATTATTTCTGTGGTTCCGGTTCAAGAATAATCCTGGATAAAACAATGTGGGAGGCAGTGGAGCTGTGTTTTCACCCTGAAATCTGCCAGCATTCCCGTGTTTCTGCACATACTGCTTTGGGACATATCGAGATACTCTTCACAGGATCACAGAAGGTGCTGAGTGGAGGGGACCCACAGGGACTGTCCAGTCCAACCCTCAGCCCTGCACAGGATCATCCCCAAGGGTCACACCCTGTGCCCCAGAGGATCATCCAAATGCTGCTTGAATTCTGCTTAAGGGCCCTGCTTTTGAGAGGGACAGGAGATTTAAGGTAAGTGGTCACCTGAGCTTGCCTGGGATTTTAATAGGGCCAAGGCTGTGGTGTCATGAAATTCAGCTCGTCCAGGCTTAATCAAACCTGCTTTGGGGGCACCAGTTCATCCTGTTGCAAGGCTTCCCTTGGAGCAGAGCTGTGCTGGAGCTCTGGGGGGAAGTGTCTGTGCAGACAGGACTGTTTCTTCCTTGCCATAAAAGCAAATGCACTATACTTGGCAATATTCCTTAGTGGTGGTTATAACAACTGCTGTTAATGCAGTATTGATGATGTGGGGAGTTCAGAGGAGTGGTGCAGTCTGGCTGGGCAGGTACAGAGCTGGGCTGGGCGGGGGGGGGGCTGTCATTAACTGCTGGAGCTGGAGGAAGCAACAGGGCTGAAAGGCTGAGCATAAATTGTGAATTGCCTATGAATTAGTCCTTTGGTGACAGCTTTGTCCAACAGCTCTCTCGGCCCAGTCTGGCACTTCCACAGGCCATCATGAGCGAGTGGGAGGGGAGGAAGGCAAAGAACCGGGGGAGAGGGTCTCCTTTGGCTTTGCTCTGTGGCAGCTTGCCCATTACCCCATTGCTCACCCCTTGTCTTGTCATTACTTGATTTTCTTTATTGCAATAAAATGAAGCTTTGGGCTCGTGAGTTCATTCTCCATCATGCAGCATTAACCCACGTGGCTCAAGGCCAGGAGATGCTTCCCGACAAGCTCAGCTGGTGGGAGCAGCACTGGGCAAAACCTGCTGCTGGATTGGAGGAATGGACAAGCTGGCTGGTGCTGAGGGGGTCTCAGCATCACTCTGGAAGTGCTTTCCACCTCACCATGAGGCTGTGCCAACAGAATGAGGGATTTGTCCCCCAGTGCTGGGGGCCCAAATGGAGTCCCTTGGAGATGCCCAGGGGTCAGCTGCTGTTACTGTTCCCTGTGAAGGAGCCCATTGTTTCATTAAGGCTGGACAGTGGCAGAAACATCTGCTGGTGTGGGTTCCTGGTGCTTGTTTGGTTTCAACCCTTCACCTAAATGGAAAGCACTGGATGAAGGAATGGAACCTCTGTCCTTGGCTGGCAGGTGATGTCTGCAGGGAGCCCTGGGGCTCGTGCCAGATGAGAATGTGATTAGTGCCCAGGAGGCAGCTTGTGACCATTTCCATGGTGAGTTTGTTGGAATGTCCTTCCCACTTCTGACATATGGGCCTTGGGCAGGTCCAGCTTGTGCTTTGCGCTTGGATGGACGGTCCCAATATCCAGCCCAGTGTGAGAAGAGGCAAAATCCCTCCCTTTTCCTCGGGAGGAACAATAGTACAGTGTGACCTGGGGAAAGGTCCCTCCAGGTCCAGCACAGCCATAAGACAATGGTGCTCGCCTGGGCTGAAGTCATGGCCCAGAGCAGGAGGTGAGAGCCGTGGGGAACTTGGCAGGGCTCAGCCAGGTCTGCGTGATCTTGCCAAGCTCTTGGCTACTGGGAGGCTGAGAGCTGTTCTGTGCTCTCAGTGATATGTGCTGCCCTTTCCCAGGAGGATCCATCTTTGAAGCCGGGGAGCAAGATGCCCACTGCATCCTCCTGAACTGCTTTCCATGCCTGGGAAGAAAACCCCTCTTCCAGCATTAAATCACAGGGACAAAAGCCTTGGGTGGCCGAGGAAGTGGCTGGGCCTTTCAGTGGCACTGCCTTGAGGGTCGTGCTCTGCTGTGCTGCCCTTTGCACACATTAAAACAGCGCTTCCCTACCGCTTCCTGGCTCCCTAAAAAGCCAGGTCACACCAGGGATGTGACAGATTGGCCGGTGACCTGGAAGGATATCAAATGGAAGGATTTAGCTTCTGGAGGAGACTTTTCCAAAGGACTCATGGGTGGAAGAACAAAACCTTTCCAAATACCAGTGCTGTCTGTTCTGCTGCTCCTCAGAGGGAGGAACTGGAGTGAAAGAACACCTGACAGTAAAATGCTCCCTGAACTGTGACTGTTTCCATTCCCAGCCTCCTTGGGTAAGTGTTTGACCATCTTTGAAGGTGTTTTCTAGTTCACTGGTGTCATCTGTGAACAGATTTTCTTGCCCTACTCTCTGAAATTTGGACAATGACCAGACATTTAGTTGCCCCTTTTATACTCAAGATCCTTGAATCCCTGTCAACTGGCCAGCTCATGGAATGGAACAGACTTTCCTTTTTAAACCTCTCCAGCAATAGTGAGAAATCCGAATGTTTATGGAATTAGGAAAATCCAGTTTTGGCAGTAGGAAACTGAAAGGTAGAATGTCAAACCAAAAATGTGGAACTCAACAGAATTTAAAATAATATTTTTAGGTAGTTATTATTTTCTTCTTTTCATGAGCTGAAAGGAAAAGATTTTTTTCCTAGCTCTAGTAGTGGCACCTTCTGCTGTCAGAACTGATGCTTCAGATTCTCAGGATACTTCAGGCTTCAATACTTATGCTCCCTTAATTGAGGTATTACAGATACTATGGATTGTTTTTAGCACATCCTTTACTTTTTGTTGTTTTCCATGGTTCAGTGGGTGAACTTGGCACTCTACCCAGAAGGCAAACAGAAATGCTTAAATAAATAAAAAAACCAAAAAATAAAAGAAAATGAGTCTAAATATAAATCTGTCAAAATCAGACTCTTCTCTGCAGCAGCATTGAAGGCAAGAAATCAATTGGCAGGATCTGCATCCAAGGAGGTAAGTGAGGGAGCTGGGGGAATATCCTGCTCGTGGCTGTCAGCATGGGATCTGGCAGCCGTGGTGCTGGGTGTCCATCAAGGAAGTGGAGACAGATCCATGAACTGTGAAGAGAAACCACATTGGTGAAGTCCTGACCCTGCTGAAATCTTGGACAAAAATCCCACAGGCTTCTGGGGATTTCACCCTTGGGAAGAATTGAGAACATGCCTTTTCCTCCAAGTTTTCAAGTATTTACTTGTCCTTCCACTCCAGTTATTGGTCGTCAGGAGTTTTGCTTTTCAGCAGATGCCTTCAGAAAATCCAGTTGCTTTATTCCTAGGAGATGTGCACTCAAAGGCACAGACAGCTTTTGGAATTCTTATCCTTGAGGAAAGTCACAGAAACTGGATTTCCAACAAAAACTTTGCATCAGTTTTGGTAGCTGATCCCTCAATTCATAAAATACTGTTCTTCCTTACTCCAGCTCTTCCCTTGCAGCTCTCCTTGGACACCCTGGCAGTCATTTCAATTCAGGATATGTTGGGCTGTGGCTGAAGTATTTCAGTTTTTACTCCTTTTTTAAATGAGGAAGAAAGAAAAAAAAAAACACCTTTTTGTTTCTTACGGAAAAGTTTAGACAACAAAAAATGGTTTTCATTAGAAATTCCCAGGGGGAAAGAATAGGAGACAAAATTCTGTTCTCTGCCTAACTCTTGTTTCAGATACTGAGGCAGAGTGAATCTTTTGTAAACCCTTTTAGAGGAGGAATTGTAAACAGAATTGTCCATGAAAATGGAAAACATCTTGCACATCCTAAAAAGTGCTGGGCTGTTGCAGTGCAGGGGTCGCTCCTGCTCCACCTCCTCTGATTAAATACTGACACACGGCAAAGCCTCCAGGCAAGCCTTCCATATTCATCAGACAGGAAAGGAGGCATTTTGGGGGAATGTCAATACGAATATTACAGTCTCTTTGCTCTTTGTATTGTCCCCTAAACAGTCAAAGTGAAGTTGCAGGAGATAATGTACAATTATGCTGTCACTAAAGTTTGTGGAGCTGCTTGCAGGAGCTTGGGAGAGATATCCTTCCAGGCACGGTGAGGCTGCACATTCCCATATCTGTCGTGCTTCAAAACAGGCTGAAAACTGCATTTCACTGTGTGTGTGGGAGACTGTCTGATATTTGGGAGTGACATGTCCTCACTGTCCTCTCCAGCAATGAAAGCGTGTAGGATGTTGTGACTGCAGCGTCCAGAGGACCAAGGAGATCCTGGTAACTCCCATGCCTGCTTTCAGGATGACTCAAAAGCATCCAGTACCATCCTAAGGGTATGGCAACACATGTCCTGCTCCTCTAGCTGATGTGGGTTTTCTTTGCTGTGGAGACCTTGGGGATCCCATCTTGCTTGGCTCCTCCTCGCGCAGGGACCAGATCTGGGATGCAGCCTTGAGTGGGAGGAGTTCTTGGGCATAGGAATGAGGGGTTTTGCACACTGGTGTGGTTTTGGAGAGAAGACCCTTCTCTCATCACTCACCATGTTTTCTGGTTTAGTTGCTGACAAGTTCTGAGGAGGACTCTGGTGACACCAGAGTGGAGGTGAGGCTGTGACCTTTTGCAGCCTTGGGGACAGGCTCCCTTTGCCTCTTTTGTGAGTGATGTCCCTATTTAGGGATAAATAATATTTTTGTTCTATTTATTATTCATTTCTCCCATTTAATATGGGAGAAATTTAATATTTAAACTTAATATTTAAACTTGGTCAAAGTTTAAATCCCCCACTTTGGAAGAGCCAGAGCTGGGAGAGCTGCTGAGCCTGAGGCAGTAGCTGTCCTGTTGCTGCTGGGATGGATTAACCTCTTCCTTGCCAAGAGTCTCTCCTGATGGCTGCTCAAGGTGGAACAAGGAAGGTTCTGGGTGGCTGGTGCAACAGTCTGAGGATGCATTAGTTTAACATCCACGTGGAGTTGTAGTAGATGTCACTTGCTACAGTGAGGAGCTGGGATTGCTGACCCACAAGGGCTCTCCCACTTCTTAATTTTCCCCCTCTGCGAAGGCAAAATCCACTCGCTCTTGGCAGACCCCTTTGTGCAGAGCATGGAGCCAGACTAATGCCTGGTGGGATTGGGTTGAAGCCTCTTCTCAGCTGTGCAGTGCCAGAGGGTTGGGAAGGCCTTGCAGAGAGGGGTTCCTCTGCCCCATATTATCATGGTCAAGCTTCTTGGGGCTCTGCTAAACCTTGTTCTCTCCTTCTCCCAGGGCAGAAAGCTGATCTGCTCACATATGGGAGGAAAGCTGGGCTCCAAACACTGGCTCCTGGTAGCAAAAATGAAGCTGCTGGGCAGGAGTGAGAGGAGATGACGGAGCCCGGAGGAGTGGTGGGTAAGAAAAGCCTTCTGTTGCCAAGCAGGGTAGTTTTATTGCAAGTCTTAATGGTATTTACTATGTTTTCCAAGAGCCCCAGAGCCAGATTTCATGTAGTTCAGCTGTCATTAAAAAGCAAATGTACATTTCTGGCTCTCCTGGCCTTGTTGACACCCTGGAAAATGAGATTCTGGCGTGTCAAAGAGCCAACAGGCAAATACCCACTCCCCAAAGTGTGCTGTCTTCAGATCCCAGAGCAAAACCTGGCACTTTGGGAAGCTGTGCTTGGGTTCATTGGTACTGAACATCTGCCCAAATTCTTCCTGGCTTGTTCAGGCTGTCTCTGAGACCCACAAGGCTTGGCCTGAAAATCTATTATTCAGTGGCATTGATCTTGGTGGTAGTGAGCTGTTCCATTGAATTGTTCTCTCTTTGTTTCCCTGGGCATTTTCAGTCATTGTTTGATGTGTAAGCCTGTCCTTGCTGGTCTAGCCTTACTGAGAGTCTCCCCAGGGTGGGGAGGGAGGGGGTCTCCCGTACTGGCATGGCTGGATGCGGCTGGGAAGCATCTCCAAGAAGGGTACAGGGAGGGGAACATTCCGCCATCAAACCCGTAGGCAGTGCTGCACGTACCAGCCTTTCTGCTGCCAGGAGAAGAATAGTGGGACTGTAAGTATGTGGCTTTTCCCAAGGGATGTGGGGCAGGGGGACGTCCCGGGCAGCAGGCACAGGGAGCCTGAGGCCACCGCTGGGCAGTGGGAGAAGCCTTTGCCTGACAAGGCCGTGCCTGCTCTTGCCTTCTCTATTTTTTTTCACCCCTGGTTCCATTAAGATAATTAAATGAGAGGTTACGATTGCGGGTGGGGGAAGGAGAAGTGTCAGCCAGCCCTCCCTGGGTGGGGTCCCCGTACCTTCCTTCCGCCCGCAAGTGCCACCTCTGAGCAGCATCCGGCCTCGTTCCCCTTTCTGCTTTATTTATGAATAAATAATCGCCGCGGCGGAGAATAAATCAAGCGGCTGTGGCCGCGCTGGCGCTTCCAGGCGGCTCGTTCCTCTCCCTTTATCCAGCTCTGAGCGGTGCCTGGCAAAGCGTGCAGCGTTCTTCCCCCTTCCCTCCCGCTCCCCATTGTCCTCCCCAGTGCTAGCCTGCAGACCTGCCCCCTCCTTTAATTCCCTGCTGGGGGCTGCTGTCCCAGGCCACACAAGTGAAAGCATTCCCGACGCTGAACAAGGTTCCCCCGGGGAGGGTGGGCAGTGGGAACGGCACAGGGGAGCCATTTGCTATTCCTTACAGATTCAGGCAGCTGAACTCTCTGAGAGAAAATTTGCTCTGGGATGGTTTTGTGGTTTTCCTCCCCTTGCTCGTGGTGTATTGAAAGACGCTGGGAACACCAAGTGGGAGGTGTGTGCAGGGATGCTCTGCAGCACATGGCAGGGCTTCGGTGCACACAAGTGGAGGTTTACTGTCCTTTCTCCCTCAAAGGCGACAGCTATTTGTAAGGACATATTTCCTGTTTTATATCAGTTGAGATCAGTGGCCGGGGCTGTTGTTCTGGACACGTGGTGGTGTGGAGATTCTATTTTTTTTTTTTCCAGTGCAAACACACCTTCTGACAGCACTGGGCTGAACAACAAGGAGCAAAACTTTTCCCTGACCTGTCTGTACCTACACAGAGATGAGAGGATGGATCTGAGGATATTGGGAGCAGGCTGGGATGCTGGAGACTCAGTCAGGGATTTGTTGTATTTCTCGGCCTGCTGTTAATCTCTATTTTGCTCCAAGCAGAGCTTGTCAGTGCCCAGCATCCCTCACACACACTGCCCTGAGGAAGCACTGAGCACGCTGCCAGCAGGGCCAGTGTTAAATCCTTTTCCTGCTGGGTTTTTCCCAGGCCTGTTGATGGGACTGTTCAGTGCAGGTGCCTCTCCGTCCTACGTGAGGTTTACCAGACATGTGACACACCAGGCCCAGAGCAGAGGAGGGGTGTAAGGGTGTCCCTCGGGCAGCAGAGGATGTTTGCATCCCGTCCCCTTTCCATGGGCTATTCCACATCCCAGCTGCTACCCTAGCTCTGTTCTCTTCTGCACTAACTCCAAATGAGTGAAAGAAGAAAACAGGGTGAAAGAAAACGGGTGAAGAAATAAATAGGATTGGGAGATTTGTAAGAAATAAATGGGATTGGGAGGTATGTACGAGAGAACTAGAGAGGGACTTTTGGACAAGGGCCTGGAGTGACAGGACAAGGGGGAATGGCTTTCCACTGCCAGAGGGCAGGGTTAGGTGGGATATGGGGAAGCAATTCTTGGCTGTGAGGATGGTGAGGCCCTGGCACAGGTTGCCCAGAGAAGCTGTGGCTGCCCCATCCCCTGGAAGTGTCCAAGGCCAGGAGCAACATGGTCTAGTGGAAGGTCCTTAAGGTCTCTTCCAACACAAACGTTCTGGGATTCTGTGATTTGAGAGCTGAAAAGGTATTGTGTAAGGCCATGTCACATGAGGCAGATGAGCTGCTGGCTGTCCTCCCTGGGTTCCCTGGGTACATGTTCCTCCCCGGAACATGTAGCATCCTTTAATGGACTAGTGACTGCTCCAAGTGCCATAGAATGTGGGGAATAGAGCCAGGAAAGGAGCTCTGCAACAGAAGAAAGGACATGTGGAGGCTATTGCACCACAGCTAAGGGATATTTACCATTTTGTGGGAAGTGAGGTCTCAACAGCAAGGAACAGGTCTCTCCGAAAGCTGGACTTGCTTCTCCAGCTGTAGCACAGCCACCTGCCAGGCTGGAGCAGCAGCTGGGGTTTATATGGGGCTTGATCCAGCAGTGGCTTTGTGGGTCAAACCCAACTGGGACCTTATCAGAGCAGCTGCTTGCACCTCTGCAAGCAGGAGAAAGATACTTGTCTTAAATATTTATCCCTGCTCAGGGGCTTTGGGTGTAATTTTGCATTTCTGTATGAACTTTGATACCAGTAGATGGTGTTCTCTGGGAGTTGTATCTAAATCTAGAAACACTCTGCATCTTTTTCTCTCTCTCTTTTTTTTTTTTTTTTTTTTTTTTTTTAAAACACTCAGCCAATCAGTTTTGGGTGAAGTTCTGTGCCTCATTAGTCTTCAGCTTCAGGAAACATGAGAAATGCATGATGTCATCAATTGTGTACCATCACATGCTTTTGAAATGCCATCAGACTTGCTAAATATTCAGTGTATATTTTCTGTCTCAACAGACTGTGTTGGCTGAAACTGCTTATGCAAATGAAAAGCTGTACCTCTTCAATAGGTTGTTATGAGCTGATCCTGAATAATTGGGGTTGAGCGGAGCAGTAGGTGGGAAAAGTCAGCAAAGGCAATAATTAATCAAGTGGCTTCACGTCTAGCCTGGATGTGGAACCCAGAAAACCCTCTCTGAAGACAGGACATTCATTCCTAAGGATTGCAGGAGCTCCAGTTGTGCAAAAACCTCCTTTTTTTAGGTTTTGCCCAGCAACTCCCAAGGGAAGCCTGTTAGAAAGTCTTTTCTCCCCTGAGCCTCTTAGCATGTATTCCTAAACTCAGCTTATATTAATTCACAACTGCTTTGTTCATCGACTGAAATGGCTCTTTTTCACCCTATTTTCCTCCCTTCCTTTTTTTCCTCCTCCAGTCTTCTATGTATTTCTAGACCCCAAGCATGTCCCTTCTTGGCTTTTGTTTTGCTAGACTAAGTGAGCTGAGCTCTTTTCATCTCTTCTCAAAAGGCAAAGCTCTCTGTTTCTTCTGTATCACCCTTTATTTTTTGCAGGTCTTTTTGATCTAAAGTGGACCCAGTCTCCTAAATCACAGCTTTGAAAGATGACAGAGCCATTCCATGGAGATAGTGGGTGCTGGAAGGGTGGGTGTGAGAGCAAGGAGCCCACGTTCCAACCATGATGAACAAGCCCCAGAGGGAAGCACAGCACTGCCAGAAACAAGCAGCAAGAAACTCATTTCATTCTCAGGCAAGTGTCTGATAAAGGAAGATTTTTTTTTTCCCCCCTGTTGTAAAACAGGGTATATGCAAAAAAATGCAGAATGGATTTATCCAGGTGATTGTTAAGAGTTAATCGATAATATAACACTTTTCTCGTTATTATGAGAAATTAGCTGATTAGAAACTTGATTAGTGGGAAGATTTTTCATGACTATAATTAAAGCACTGCATGGCTTCTTGTGTAATTGATATTTAATGGTTACATGGAAAGCTGGTTGTCTATAAGAAACAGTGTTGGGTTGATTTTTTTTTTCCATTGTTCGCCTGTGGATTGGGCAGAGGAGGGGCCAAGTGGCTCACCTAGTCAGGGGGAAGGAGGGAGAAGAGGATGAGATGCAACTGCTCAGGACCTAGAGAGGTGGGAAAATATCAATGTTTTGTAGCCATGTGTGGGATAAAAGAGCTGGATGGGGGTCTATAAGGAGGAAAGGTAGTGGGATTTTGTTCTGAGAACAGAGGTCTCATTAGTCTAAGCTTCAAAGAACCAAAAAACTATCCAACTCAGAAACAATAACCCAACTTCTCTTGGAGGGTGATATGAGAGCAGGGATTTATCCGTTTGATGTCCTCTGTGTGAGAAGCTAAAAGACACAAGGTAAAGGTATGATGATGCTTCTCCTGGTGTCCTGTTCCAGCTCTGGCATCAATGTCAGGGAGGTACCTTTGTGTTTGTCCTGGAGGAACAGTCTTTCTGGGCTTTGTCTATAAAGTTTTGGAGTGTTTCCCAAGAGAGGCAGTGGAGCCTCTGCAATGTTGGATGCTTTATCTGCAAGATCTGCTCCAGCCCAATCAGCCTGATGGGAAAGAACTACCTGTCTTGTGATCCTGGGGTATCAGAGTCCACAATCCCAGTGGTCTACCCTGGCCTAAAGGTCTGTTAACTCTTCAGTTAAAACTGGTGAGTTGAATCCCACAGAATCACAGGATGGGCCAGGCTGGAAGGGACCACAGGGTTCACCTGGTCCCACCTCCCTGCTCCAGCAGGGTCATCCCAGAGTACATGGATTGCATCCAGCTGGCTCTGGAATACCCCCAGTAAGGGAGACTCCACTCCCTGTCTGGTCTCTGTTCAGTGCTGGGGCACTGCACAGCAAGAAGTTCCTGGTCATTAGTTCCTGCCCGTTCCTCCTGTCCTCATATCCCAGTCCCTTTGCCTTGTAGCTCCTCTGACAGTGTTCATGGCCAGTGTGATAAAGGCCTGGTCCTGTGCCAACTGTATCAGTTTTTGGGCAACTCTGTAGGATATGAAGACATACAATGGGGATACAGACACTGCCAAGTGTCTACATATGTGTTTTCAGACTGTAGCTCATATTGTGCTTTGTAATTAGATTACTGGGACATTCCAGTGCCTGAAGAAAAACAGAGAGAGACAAGTTACAAGAGCCTGGAGTGACGGGGCAAGGGGGAAAGGCTTCAAACTGACAGAGGGTAGGTTTAGATTGGATATTAGGAAGAAATTTTTCCCTGTGAGGGTGGGGAGGCCCTGGCACAGGTTGCCCAGAGAAGCTGTGGCTGCCCCATCCCTGGAAGTGTCCAAGGCCAGGTTGGACGGGGCTTGGGGCAACCTGGGCTAGTGGAAGGTGTCCCTGCCCATGGCAGGGTGTGGAATGAGAGGAGCTTGAAGGTCCCTTTCAATCCAGCCCCTTCTAGGATTCTATGACATGCTCTGTTCATCTCCTCCGCTGATGAGATGATGTTTGGTCCTAAGCACCGTGTCCTCTGTCCCTTTTAGTTAGCAGCATTAATCCAGAGTTTCTTCCCTGATGGAGAGCTACAGCCCTCACTGCAGGGACGCTGCAAGTGATTGTGCCAGTGTATGAACACGAGGCTGCTCCTTTGGAAAAGCAGCTCTCTGAATTTCCACACATCCCAAACTTTGTCCTTGTGTCAGCCAGCATGGGCAACAGCTGTGATGGGAGGTTGGGGCTGGGCTGGGTTTGGCAGGGAGGCTGCAGGCAGCCTTCCAGCCCTCAACCTGGCAGCAGCCATGCAGGGAGGTTGCACTCGGGCTTGTCCCCCATTGGGTGCTGTGCTCTGCTCCCCCACATCAATCTGCCCCTGGCTGTCAGGACTGTGGCTCGCTCTGGGTGTGTATTTGGCCAACGAATGTCACACCACCCCAAGCAAATCCACAAATCTAATAACAATCAACCCCACTGCTGATGCATTATTAACATTTGGGTTTGTTTTCCTTTTCCTGCGAGGAGAAGTGTTTGAAGGTGGGTAGATGGTGCTAAATTGTGTTTATTGCACGCCTGCTGAATATATAACGTCTGTGTGACCTCCCTGAAGAGTTAGACAGGCCTTTGCACAACATAATAATTCTCAAGCACTCAGAAATGCATACAAATGCTCTGGTGCAATAAGAGGAATTCTAGACCTCACATGCTAGGTGATGAATGCTGCTGGGGGGCCCAGCAACTGCCCAGATCCACAAGAGAAGACCTCTCCTGTTTTGTCCAACAGCAAAATGTTAGTGAATTCTTCTGGAATGGCCGAGGAATTGGTGGTAGGTTTTAAAAGCTGATAGCCCTGATGGCTTTGGAGGGAGATGCTCTGGAAATCCTTGATGGCACAGGCCAATCTGCAGCCTCTTTTTACCTTGTAGTCAGCCAAACAGCAAGAAAGCCTCAGCACGCAAAGTTTTCTTGTGGTTTTTATTCTAAAGGAAGGCAGTGGAATGTGTGGGATATGCCAAATCTGCTTTGTTAGGATTCCATTAAATGCCTTTTCTCTGATTGTAAACCAGAAATGTTTTCACTCTCTCTTCAGATGATGTTCTTTGAAAGGTAAACTCCACCAAACAAACACTTGTAGCCTGAAGTACCATCTCAGGGTGCTGACTTGTTATTTTGGTAGAGGAAACTTAAATGTCTCAATTCAAGTTAGGAGATGGCAGAAGTTTTGAGGGTTGTGGTGTATGATTTGGATTCCAAAATGTGTGTTTCTGGGAAAGCATGGAGCCTCCTTCCAGGGATGGAGCTCCAAAGGATGGAGCTTCTGCAGCTCTTTCCATGGGAAAACTGGGAAGGGAAGCTTTGCTATACTGTAACTGTGTGTCATCCAGTGAATCACATGGAAAAGACCCCATGGAGAAACAGACCCTTTGGACTGAAACTGGGTCTTAGATAAGAGTTACTGATAAAACTTTTGGCAAATTGAGGCTGTCTATACCTACAATAAGACACTAAGTCAGAGCATCTGAAGGAGGGAATGAAGATGGGGAAGAGCCTTGATTTGAAGCCCAGTAAGGACACTGAGGGCACTTGGTGTGTTCAGCTGGACAAGACAAGACTGAGGGGAGACCTCACTGTAGTTCCAGTTTCCTAGGCAGGGGCAGAGGAGGGGCAGGACTGAGCTCTGCTCTGGGGGGACCAGGGACAGCACCCAGGGAATGGCTGGAGCTGTGTTAGGGCAGGGTCAGGTTGGATCTCAGGAAAAGGTTCTTCCCCCAGAGGGTGGTTGGCACTGAACAGGCTCCCTGGGGCCGTGGGCACAGCCCCAAGGCTGCCAGAGCTCCAGGAGGGTTTGGATGATCCTCTGGGGCACAGGGGGTGACTCTTGGGGCTGGGCCTGTGCAGGGCTGAGGGTTGGACTGGATGGTCCTTGTGGGTGCCTTCCAGCTCAGCATATCCTGTGATTCACCCCTCCCTGTCTGGCATCACCACAAGAGCTCACTCTTCCTGTCATTGCCTGGCTGAGGGACCATTTCCACACCATGGAGTTTGCTCCTTGGCTAATCTTATTTGGATAGCAGCAGACTTTGGCAGCCACTTCCTCTCTTTGCTTTGCTAACATCAGCACAGTTTCATTATTACTTACTCTGGAGTTTATGCTCAGACAAGATCAGGCCGCAGCTTGCAGCTGAAACGGGTCAGAATCCCATGTTTGCCAAAGCTTGGCTTGGGAAGGCAGCTTTGCAGGAGAGAAACTTGGCTGAAATAGCCCTGAGACTAACTGCAGTTGTATATAAACGTGTCACCTGTAGAACAGCCTGACAGTGTGTGTGCAAGTGCCAAGAGCCAGGGGTACAAATCTCCCTCCTGGTGTTGGCTTGTGTCTGGCTGCCAGCGCTGCAGGAGCTCTGACTGGAGAAACCCTGGCTATGGAAATCTCTCCTGCTCCAAGCCCTCAGCCAGCTATCCATCAGTTACTGATGAGAAACAGGTTCAGAGGTCTCCCTAAAATACTTACCAGGAGCTTGTGTCTCCCACAGAAACCTGATGGAGTGCAGCTCAGCAGACCTGGGTGAGTTGGCGGGACTGGTTGTCTCCCTGCTGCTGCTCTTATTTATTGCTGTGGTCTCCTGCAGTATGTGCTTGGTGCTGGGGGACAGAGAGCCATTAAAGCCTTTTGAAGAAGAGCAGGAGGAACTGGAGAACTTACAAAGCTGGGCTCAAAATGGCTCTCCAAGATGTGGTTTGCAGTTCTTGCAGTGAGCTTCCCCTGTGTTTGTTGCTTACCTTGATCATGTTCTTCCAGTGTTTTCCCCCTTGTTTTTGGGTTCAGTCCATGGACAAGAGAGTTCTGATCCAAAGTCCAGATGTTGGAGAGCAAGTGTGTTGCCCTGAGATGGCCCTGAGGGCTCATCCAGGTACTTGAATTACTACTCTGTGATGAATTGCCATGAGCCACTCTGTGCATCTACTCATATTTCCATGGCAAATGGGAGGTTATTCAGCTTCATTGCCTTGCACATGGTCATGGCTGGGCTGTGGGTGCCTGTAAATCCAGTGAAGTGTGTGTGTGTTTGCTGTGCTATCACTTTTTAAGGGCCAGCCCAGAACAAACTGAGGACTTCCTTTGAGGACTGTGGGAGGGCCAGGCCAGCCTGGCTGGCTCTTTGCTCCCAGCACAGCCATGCTCACTTGTGCTTTGGCAATGAGAAAGAAATTTCTTGCTGATTACAAAAGGACAAGAGGGAAGAATGAATTAATTAAAAAGATTAAAAAAAAGTCC